TGCCGATATTAAAATCAATTCATTCCAAAGATGATACAAATGTTTATATTCCTTTATCATATATCAGTTTTTTAATCAACATTATCTTGGGCAGACAACAGATATTGGTAGCGACTCTTTTTTTCCGGAATTGCAACAACACGAAAATGGGGAAGGTTATCAATGTTCCGAGGAGGCTGAAGACAAACAGGCATTACTCCATGAAGATTGCTGGCAAACTCGATGAGAATTGAGAACGCTCTGTTCTCAAGCCCAAGGTGCATTGGACAATACATCATATGATGCGATAGACCTTGCATTTAACAGAAAATATATTCTAAAGGTTATCAGAAACTGGACTCTGGAAATGTTAACATCAAGAGTCAAAATCAAGAACCATATGGACCACTGGAGGCTGACTCCAAGGAGGCGTATTATCGCCATTATTATGGACACTGGTAATCGATAGTCTAGTTGAAAAACTTAATGACATATGATTATGCAGACGACCTTGTCATATCTATCACAGGCTTCGACATTGTAACGATATCGGAAACCCCTCAAAAACTATCCTTGTACCATTTACAAGACGTAGATCTCTGAGACTTATTGAGCCGACTCTAAACGGGTCTATTATTAAGTTCTCTGAGGAAGTTAAATACTTAGGGATCATTTTCGACAAAACCCTAAATTGGAACTCACATGTATTCAGTACAATCAATAAAGTCATTAGAGCATTATATGCCTGTCAAAGGCTAGTTGCTAGTAAATGGGGTCTAAAACCGAAAATGATCTCATGTACTTTTAATATCATAATAAAGCCCATTCTGACTTATGCTGCCTTAGCTTGGTGGAAAAAAGTGGAGCAGGTCACTATTCGGGCTTCTCTGGAGAAATTTTATTGTCTCGTCTGCGTCTCTATAACGGAGACCATGAGAACATGTTCTACATACGCCATTTGGGCTACTCTTTACATATCACTTTTGGATATTCTTATCAAAGATGATACCTATAAATCGGCCTATAAGTACATTTAAATAATTCATCAACGGTCATATATCCGAGTTCATGATTGTGGGTGGATTGTGATACTTGACAGAAACCAATGGGCCAATAAACATGATGGCAGCAAAGTACTGATCAAGTTTTGTTTACTGACGGGTCAAAGGGTATGTGTGGTCCTAACTTCCAGAAGGCAATATCCATGGGAAAATATCCCTCAATCATCTATACCATCTTCATATGTTATAGGAAGAGGAGAAGGATAAAGGGAATGTCAAACAGCCAAACAGCGCTCAAGGCCTTACTCTCGTATGAAGTTAAGTCCAGTATTGTTATAGACTATGTGACATCATTGAACGAACTGGGTAAACATAACAAATTAATACTATGTTAGATACCCGGCCATGAAGGACATTCTGGCTACGAACGGACGGATTGCTTAGCAAATAGAGGCGCTCATCGCCCACTTATCATCCCTGAACCATTCTTTGGTATCCCACAAGGATATGTCAATTCGATTTATCTTGAAAATCCATAAATTTGATTTTGAAAGAAGTTTTTCAAAAATACCTTTTTTAATACTTTCTTCGTAACTTTCTAATTCTTCTGATCGTTATGCACTTAATAAAACAGAACATTGGTATCGGTCATAGAGGAAAGTTGGACATTTTTGAAATTGTTTTTGCCAATTTTCATAGCTTTAGCCAATTGTTAATGACAATATTAATTGCTGTCTGTTTTCAATGTTGTTTATAATTAGAAATAAATTATTTTCAAAAAAACAAACAACTTGTTTTTCTTTTGTTAAAATTTTAATAGGAATTTAAAGAAAAAAATAATAAAATATTGCAAAACACTTAAGCAATTGACACAAACGAAGAAAGCGTACCAAAAGACATGAAAAACTATATGAAAAAATAATAAATAAATAAAAAAAAACAACAGAAAAATATAAAAATTTCCCCTTTTCTAAGAGTAAATATTGTGCCACACTGTGCGTTGTTTAGGTTGAACGTTGTATAAAACAACAACTGCAACATGAAAAACAACTTAAATACAAATAAAATATACACACACTCAGCAGTGTTTATTCAATATTAGTGAAAAAGCCGAATAAAAACCAAAAACGACCACAAAAATTGCTAAATTGAAGATAAAACTGTCATCGCTGACACAATCAGCAGCAACAGCGTCGCTTCCATGTAGAAAATTATAGACTTTTCCATTCATATATGAATGAAATCATACAGACAAACATACATAAAAAAGATCTTTGCAACAACATAGTGCATGTTGTAGGTAAGTACTATATCTAGGAAGTACATATTGTTGTGTGTTGTTTGTTAATAAAAAAAATATTGCAAAAGACTGCGGTTAATAAGACGTCAGTGTTGATCATTGCAAATATTCATTGGCATGTTTATAACTAAATATGTATTTACTTTAAAATGTAGAAATACAAATTTATATTGTTACAAAGATAAATAAAGTTGGCTAAGATCAGTAAAAACAAATATATCTTATTTGTTTTTTCAATGTTTAAATTGTAGGCGTGCGTGTGAGTTTGTTTTTCTTGTAATCATTAATTGTTGTAAACAAAACTGAATTTAAAGTAAAACAATTAAAATGTAGAAAAATAAAAAAAAAAAAATAATGAAATTCAAAGGTCATGATTATTTTATGTTTGTACTAAATGTACTCGTACTCTCGTACATTTAAAGATTTTAAATGATCAGCATTGAAATTTACCGAAAACCTCTACATCTATTACATAGAACTTGTTTAGAATTTGTTGCTTAATTCTTTGAAACATAGTAAATAGTATTACAAAAGCATTAGATGATTATCATTTATTTGTTGGAAAAATTTTGTCTATCCATCTAATTTTCTATGGCGCAGGACCAGACTGACCGCCCTCCCAACAATACTGTCATTTGGGCTATTCGTGCAGCAAATTAAAATCGCAAAATCGTTTTAATTGGCGCAAACACATATGCCCATCACACGATCTGGGTAGCATTTATATCAACTTGAGTGGTGAGTACATTATAGTTTAGCTACAGTAAATAAAGGTTCAACATCCAGTTGATTTGCAAATGCAAAGATAGATTCTCATTTAGTTCGCAATTGGAAAGTTTCGAACAAATGTTCTTTTTCAAATCATCGATATCTTGAATTCTCAATAGAGATGAAAAAGGTCAGGACTCCACCTTTCTAAAAAGAAAGAACACCATCTGGATTGAAGAAAGACGAATCCTAAATTGTCTCCTTCAATCAACAGTTAATATATTGACAAACCAAGAAACAACCACTGGAACCTCTAACCCCTTTATACCAAAGAGGAAAGAAAAACGACTATGGTGGTTTCCTAAATATCGATAATCCGTAAAGAATGTCGCAAATTATTCAGGTAAATGGTTTTTATATACATAAGCTTTCCTTGAATAAGTTCAAAAATCGGGCCAGAAATGAAAAGCGTAGATCGAAACCTTTTTTAGTGTAAAATATACACTGAAAAAAGCAGAGATTTTTCAATATAACAAACGCTTATACTGGCAATTTCTGAAGAATAGTTAAATTGAGCCGAAAATTTAGCCGCCGCCGGTACTTTCTATAAAAAGCAGCCGACCAAAATGGTTGCGCCGCTGATCATTCTGAATCGGTTTGTATTAAATTTCATTTTTGGCACCGAATACGGTGTATGCCTTACACGAGGAGAACGAGTATATTCATTTCAGAATTTGGAATCAGTTATATTGTAAATCAATTCAGTCCCAGATATCAGCCATAACAAGAACAAGAAAATGGTTCTGGTATCATAGGTTATCGAATATAAATCATACTAATCTTTAACGGCAATTCAAGCTTCAATCAAGTTCCTAATAGATGCATATTAGGAACTTGATCACGACTAGCCAAGGAATGTGGGGTGGCAAGACATTTAAACATTGCACTGGTATGGTAACGACAACATGACATTCTACAGGCAACTGTGTTGCTGACGAGCTCGCAATTCGGACATACTTAGATCATTTCTGTGGGACTCCGTTAGGAGAATGCAAGAAACAGATAGACAACATGTTCTATGATCTCTCAGGCAAGATTTTGAAACGAACCAACTTGCATCGTGGTCAACGCCAACTATCGTGGCCAACAGACTATCTCCTGAAACTGGGCCTTGTAAAAATGAAGGTGATATAAGAAAAAAGAGAGATAGAAATAGGAGAGCAATAACTTACGCCTTAGTCCACTATGTTCTGGTAATTAACTGACCTTAAAGATCAAATCATTAATATAAATTTGTATTATTTTCATCTTAAATCTGCTTAATTAATTCAAATAAAGTATTTACTCATCAATGAAACAACAATCTTAAATCTGTTTAACTAATTAAAATGAAGTATTTAGTCATCAATGAACCAACAAATCATCAAAATTTTAATAACTTTTAACTTGATGTTTCTACATTGATGTTCATACATATTACCTTGTCCTATATTAAATTTTTAACGTGTACAGTCTTTTTAAATGCACATAAAAACGAACATTTAGTGTAAATATTTACATTAGTGAGCAAAATATATAAATATTCACACCTCAAGACCAACAGTCTGGAGATAATCAGGCAATTCGAAGAAAGAAAACACCAAAAAACAAATAATATGAATGTATATGAATCATCGACAAGGGAACTCACACGAAAATACACAATAATATTTACGAAAACAACAGATAAATAATCGCTCAACATGTTTTTGTCCTACGATCGAAATTTAATAGAATTTCGAAGAAAAATTTTCTTTATAAATCGCAATAAGTTTAAGGAAAAAACAACATTAAAATGGATAATTAAAATACCAAATTCAGACCATTTCAATTTTTTTCTGAAATCACATTTAATCATGTTTTAAATTTATATGTGTATCAGAGAGCAATGGGTATAAAGTAATTCCAGATGGACAGAAAATAAAATTTAAAATAAAAGAATGAATGAAAATTTATGGTCAAGGTGAACTTACCAACTGTTTTAATAATTTGATAATCGTCTAAACTATATTTTCTAACACCTTTGGCTGTTTCTACACTACTATTATCCTCTGAAGTATCATCTTCTTCATCATCTGTTTCATTGCCATCATCATCCGTATCATCATCTTCCTCCTCCTCATCATCATCATCTTCTTCATCATCATCGTCGTCCTCGTCTATATCTTCATAGGTATTTTCAGTATGACTTTTTGTGTGTTTTGTATGCTGCTCTTCATCAGTCTCCTCGCTGTAATCTGATTCAACAGGATCTGAGGATTCACTGGAACCCACACTACTGCTGTTGGTTCCATTACGACTTGTATAGCCACTGGATAAACCACAGGGACGATTGTGTGCACTACCCAATTTGAGAGTTAGCGAGACATCGTTAGATGCATTTACTTTCGAGCTAGTTGTGGGTGCCATTTTTGAATGTAGGCGGGAACAGGTGGCAGCTGACATTGAAGTTTATTTGTTGGTCGCCAATATTAAGGCTAAAATGGAAAAATAAAACAAATTTTTAAGTGTTATTTCTTATAAAGAGTCTAGGACCTTAATTAAAATTGTTCAGAAACTTTATATCGAATAAGTACCATATACATATAAACATCAAATAAGATTTAAATTGAATTATGTGGTGAAGATAATGGTTATATAATTAACATCAATTCTCCAACAGACAAGTCTTAAACATTTTATAATACTTGCTAGACACATTTTCAATTCATTATTAATTTACATTATACAATGTTCTATTATTTCTGCTACAATTCCATTTATATAGATATAAATAATTAAATTTTTATTTCATACAAATACACACTTTGGTCTATAGAAAACTCTCAGACAGGAACGTTAAATAAATATGAAAAGATTATTGAATTCATATACAATAAAAAAACACTATTGTATTATTAATCCTATTCAATGTCTATTGAATTCTCTATGAACCCATCAGGTGCTTGAAAAAGTTTTTATGCGTTTTGTATGTCATCCTAGATACATAGAGAATATTCATATATGAACGAGTGCAACATACAATTGCACAGTGGCTTGGAATTATTTATTTTGGAAACAAGTAACAATCGACTCAGTAATTTTGAAAATGTCGAAATTTACTTTGGTTTTTATGAACGGTCAACAGGATGAATGTCTTTGTAACATAAAATGAATTGTGGATATTTAACTCATATACCGAATGGTCTTTAAACGAGGGCTAGGATCAAGTAATGACCGATCATTACAAAATTCGGTAGGGTCATCCAAACATGTATAAAAACATAGTTCTGCTGTTTTTTGTCGAGATACGGGTATATTAAACCTATTTTTGAGCTCAAAAGCTCTATTAATTCTGAAATATTGATAAAAAGTGATTTTCTAAAAGAGTTTATATGGGGGCAAGGGTTACGTACATACATATATACTTATCCCCATAAATTCTGTTTGGAGGATTTGCGTTTATTTTGACTTATTGACTTGTTTATAACACAATTATTAACTTTGAAGTCATTTTCTGAAGATTCTTTGTATGGTAGCTAAGTCTAATAAGGACCGATCGTTACGAAAATTGGCTTTATCATAGAGACTTATACAACTCTAAATTATGCCGATATTAGAAATTCTAGAACATTTTCCATAAATTTGAGCTACAAAGCCCTATTCTGGGGGTACTATTGTAAGGAAGCTAGGTGAAATAATGGACCTATATCCAACATTTTCAATAGGTTTCATCAAGAGAATAGTATGTGCCAAATTTCATCAAATTTGCGATATGTAGGGTGCGTACAAGGTGGACACACAGACGGACAAAGCTTAATCGAATCAGAAAGCGATTCCTAAAATTTAAAAATTGAATAAGTTCATTAAAACATATTAATAAAATACTTCTGCAAGGTGGCGTGTCATAATGTCCATAGACCTTATGACACACCATAAAGCAACATAATGTCCAAAGACATTATGTCACTTTTTTAAAATGTCCATGGACATTATGACACTATTCAGAAATGTATAGAAAAATTTGTTTAGAATTTAGGACTTATCCCGAAAAGAATTGCTCCTAAATTGTGTATATGTTGCATTTTGGATTCCTTTT